GCAAGTAGTAGCTTCTCAAAATCAAATAAAATATGGGTGTTCAAAGATTTCGAACTTTAAAAAAGGATATTTATCCCAAGAAACACCACTTAAGAAGAACAATAAAATAAAAGGTAATTAAAAGAAAGAAGATAAATAAAGGTATAAATAAAATTGTAAGCAAAGGTAAATTCAAGAAAAAAAATTGAAAAAATAAATTTCAACTACCAAATAAATATTGATACAATGTTTGAATTCAATCTAAATATTTAATTTTAATTTTATAATAATATACAAATAACCTATAACAACAACAACTATTTTCCATAAAATTAAGAGAATACTCCATCGATATTTAAACTCTAATTCTATATAATAAAAAAAAAACATTTACTAATAGAATCATGGATAGTAACTAGTTGTTGAAAAACTTGTTATTTATCATTTCTATTATGTTGGTCATTCTATCAGTAATATAATTATTGATGGAGTTAAAAATAAATAAAAAAAAGCATGTCAAAAAAAATTATCAACATCATTTCATTAGTAATTCCATTAATGAGTATGAAATATCACTGATAAAAAAAATTATTTGTAATTTTATTAATGATTTAGTTTATATTACTAATAAAGTTAACTTGTCAATGATTTAAATATTTTTAAGAGAAATTCTAGTAATGTTTTTACACTCTCTAGAACTTTTTGAGAGACTTAATTCATTAGTAATTCGATATATAATTGTTAGTGGCAAAATTTTATAGTTGTTTTCCAACTCTTTATGATGGGCTTATTTTATCGGTCATTCCATATATATTAACATTCAATTAATAATTTCATCAATATTGTATTTCATATTTTATTAAAAGAATAAACTAAAAACAATAGAAAAAAATTAAAATAAACAAAAAAGAAAATGAAATTAAAATAAAATAAAATAACAAAATATTTATTATTAATTTAAAATATATCAACTTGAATACAACTTATCTAGAAGATAACAGTTAAAGGAGAAGGAGGAGAAGGAGGATGCCTAAATTCACTCATCTCAGATCTAAAGTTGGGTCTAAGTTTCAACTTATTTTTCAATAATTGCTTGTATGGTAGAAGATTGGGAGCTTGAACCTGAAGGTGAGAAACCAAGAGTCGATATATTATATCTTATTCACAAATCCTCAATTATAGTATTTGATATACGGTAAATCTAATATTCATTAACTTCACTAAATGATCGAACCACGAATTCAAATCGATTCTCAAATAGGTCAAATAATTGTCCCTGTATATTTCTTGTAATTGAGTGTTATATGTTTTATAAAAAAAAAATAGTCATTAAAGTTTTTTTAAAATAATAATAACTTATAAAAAAATTATTGAAATCCAACTTACTATGAATTTATAAGCTTGGCAATCCATAAGCTACTACACTTTTTTTTTTTTACGGTACTTATTTCATATATAAGTTTCTACAAAAAGCTTTATTGATTTGGATGAGTCTAAGAATCATAGACTAAAAAATAAAGTTATGGTTAGTTAAATATTTTTATATAAAAT